TCCATCCATCCATTATCTTTACCCACTTATTCCTTTTTGGGTCACGGGGGTCGCCGGTGCCCATGTCCAGCCATTGCTGTGCGAGGGGCGGAGACACCCTGGACAGGTCTCCAGTCCATCACAGGGACACATGGAGACAAATGAGACAAACAACCACTCACTCCCTCACTCACACCTAGGGACAATTTAGAGTTACCAATCAGCCTAACATGCATGTTTTTAGTCTGTGGGAGGAAACCGGAGTACCCGGAGAAAACCCACACATGCACAGATTGAACATGCAAACTCCACCCAGAGGGGCCCCGGACCGGGATTTGAACCAAGGACCTGCTCTCTGAGAGGCAGCAGTTCTACCAGTTGTGCCACCGTGTTGCCCCAGTTATATATTAAAAGATTTAAATAAATGTATTTGTGTTGATGCTGTTAAATTTTGCAAATCAAGTACAACTTTAAATATTTTACATGATCCATAAATCGATCCGTCCTGAATCAAAAAGTGTTTTTACAACGTTTCAGCCCAGAAATTTCTTTACTTTGTGGCAGTTTGGTTCTTTTTACGCAACAAAACCAATCCGATTTTTTTTTTGCAAAGCAGCAAATTAAAAGTGTTTTTTTTTTTTTTAGATTTGGTGTCTTTTGGTTTGAAAGGCCAGACTTTGATATTTCTGCACAGACTTTTATTTCTCAAAGCTGTAAAACCAAAACTGTAACAACTTCCTGTTTGTGTTTGTTGTTCTGGAAACGCACTACAAAGCTGACGGGGGGGAGCTTTAAAAATCTTCAGTGACGCGATTAGATTTAAAGTTGTTCAGACATTCTTTTTGTCATTTGTCCAGATTTTTGGTGCTTTTAAACCTAAAACCAGTAAACAAAAAAAACATTAACTAAAATGATCTATATAGGCTTTTCAATGTAAAATGTTGTAATCATTTATAGCACATTCCTATTAATTTTGCAAAAAATCTGAAAGTAATCATGTTTTTATTTTAAAAAAGGTATTTAAAAATCATTGTTTTGCATAAGGAACAAGCTCAATCAGCTGTATGGTTTTAAATGCTGTTTATTTTTATTTACTCATTTTTTTATGTTTTATTGACAGATGCTGCCCTGATATTTAAAAGAAACATATATTTTGTTTTTGCAACATAAGTTCAGCTCATTGATGATGAAAAAGAAACATATTTTATAGTCATACTGTTTTTAAATGTTAATCATTTGAACAAATGTTTTATAGGTTAAGTCATTTTGCAGCTGTACGGTAGCTATATTTATTTTTCTCATTATTGATGATATGCAGCTCATTGATGTGTCTTCATGCCTTTAACCTGCAGAGTAAGAATTTCCTCTCCTTGTTGCCCAGAATATATTCACCCGGAGGTGAACCAAAGATTTTGAGGCTTTGTTTGTTTTATGCTACATTAAAGGAAAATTGTTTCTTACTAAACAAATTTTAAAGCTGGAAATCAAAAATAGCGGCTGTAAAACGATCATTATTCGCCTTTAAATCGTCCTTCGTGGAAACGTAAGAGAAACCGTGTTTGTAAGCAAATGATTTAGTAGTTTGTCATGTTTTCTTCCCTTGAACTCATGTTAGATGGTGACAGCTTGACGCACCACACATGCAACATCCTGTAGGGCTGCAGTGAAGATGCAAATGTTCAGCAATTATTTATAAAAACTATGGCTTGTCGTAATGAGAGGAAGCAATCTCAGCATTAAATTTTGTTTAAAAGAGAATGCAGAATTGTTGCAGAATCCAGGAGTCTGTTGTAACAAAACGAAGGCAGAATGTATCGGCTGCACGCAGTAATGTACATTTGAATATTTACCGGAATATGTCAACTGAGGGATTTATGATCACTGATGCATTTTTTTTTAGCACTGCTCTTTTTTATTTCCTATCATTTTATACATTTTGAAACATTTTTTGCTGCAATAAAAGATGTGAAAAGATCTCAGTTTGTGATTCACAATTTCTAGTGAACTGCTCATACAGGAAGGAGACAGCAGGCCAGAGGTGTAGGGTTACAGCACTTTAGGCTGAGTCCCATTATACAGTGCAGCACACACACACAAACCATGCACGGACACATCAACACCTAAAGAGTCCGTTTAGAATTACTGAACATGCATGTTTTTAGACTGTGGGAGGAAATCGGAGCACGTGGAAAAAAGCCTCTCCCGCTCAAGTGTAAACTCCACTCAGAAAGGCCTCAGTAGAGATTAAAACCCTGGTTCTTGTTGCTGTGACGTGAAGCCTCTGACCACATAAGGGTGAATGTGACAGTGAAACTGTTGGGAAATTAAACAGTACAAGAAAGTTACATTTCAAGTTTCCTCACACAGTTCAAAAACATTCAAGTTAGGTTATTTAGTTCCAAACTGACCCGAGGTGTAAATAAGGTCTGGAAGACATCCTCCTTCAACCACAAGGCAAGATAAGAGGTTAGCATTAGCATAGATTTGTGTGTGAGTGTGAATCTGATGTGTGTGTGTGTGGATTGATGTTCAGGTAGCCAGCTGCGATTGGACTGGAAAACCAAAGGAGCTGAACAGGGATTGGATCCCGGACGAGCCCCCAATTTATGTTACGCCTGTATAGGAGTGGCCAGGCCATAACATAAAGGTGATTCCGAGCCACTCCTTGTTTTTTCTGAATATCCATCCATCCATTTTCTTTTCCCATTTCTTCTTTCAGGTTGCATGGAGCTGGTGTCTCTCCATAACTCACTGCGAGAGACAGAGACAACCTGGACAGGTCTCAAGTCTATGAATGCATGTTTTTGGTCTGCAGGAGGAAACCAGAATACCTGCATGCAAGAGGGGAACACCCAGACTTTGCCCAGAAAGGCCAGGAGGCGTCTTTCTTGCTTAGAGGTGACCGTTTTAACCACGGCGCCACCGTGCCACTTGCTTAAATACTAGAGTTACAAAACTCAATAATTTTAGATTATTATTGGATTTTAAACAGATGCAGCACTATTAAAATATGTTACTCTTATTTAATTTTTTTGACTATATAAAAATGCCAACCAAATAAAGTTTAACTCCAGTACGTTTAATAAAACCAGCTCACATTTATTTTATTTATTTATTATTGTAAATCTTACTTTTACCTTAAAGAGTCAGTGATTAGCATTTTAGGCTCGGCTAAGTCCCAAATGTTTTTAACAATATTACAACATCTAACACTGCTTCTGGGTAAGATACTGACTGTTCACACACACTCCACACGACCCTACTCACAGGCCACACAGACAACACTAACTGCTGCTGAATCTGATCATTTCAGTGCAAACATTTCACTGAAATCGAGGCCACATTTCTGTAGACCAGACTTTTTTAACTGTAACACAAACGCTCCTGCTCTCATCCTCCCTCGTCATCATTTAGGACAAGGAGCGTGAAGGATAAAAAACATGAAAACACCAAACATCAAAGCTGATCCTATTGGAAGTCCCGATAAACGAATATTTAAGTTGTACAAAAAAATTCCCCCTTTTCCAAGTTGATAGCTGCATCTTCAGGCTGTCCACAAAACAGAATATCTTTTCAAAACTGAGCCTTCACTATCTAAACAAAGCTGTGTAACATGCAACCGATCAAAGGTTCAAATTCACTCCTGCTCCTGCGCTCCACCTCGTCCTGCCTTCTGATTGGCCGGGACATTTAAAACTAAGGGGGGCCAAGTAAACACTTCCACAGGTAGGTGAAGGAGCAGTGGATCAGGCTGCAGGCTCACCTTTCAGTTCTACCAGCAGGGCCTGGGACAGGATCGGACTGCAGGATCCTCTGAGCGGGATGACAGAACAGCAGACGTGTCAGGAGGATGTCAGGAGGGCCCACAGAGTAGCTGCCATACAGGAGGAGAGAGACTATCAGTGAGTTTGGGACTCTAAATACAGTCAAACGTGGATTTCTAAACCACTTTTTCTGTTGTTGGTTTTGTTGTAGCAACAGTTGTGTTTACAGATAAACAACTACATTACAAAAGGTTGCATTACAGGAACTGTAAGACCGATATTTTAGGAATTAAAAGTTAGAATACTGCATTTCGGTGGTGCAATTTCACACTTTACGCTTCTAAAATTCATCCATCACGTTTAAAACGTTTCCATCATTTGTAAACATCAAACTGAACGTGCAACAAGACAAGTGTGGACTTGGTGATTTTACAGCAGCTTTTAACATATTTAGGGCCTTGCAGATGTCAATAACTCAAAATACAGAACGGCTTAAATACGATTGCTGAGCTAAGCGTCCCTAAAGTTGCAAAAACAGTTTTCACTCTGAAATGTATTTTATAAATCATTAGCTGTGCATGTTTAACAGTCATTACTCACTGTTGACATGAAGAGTGTGGCTATTTGAATAAGTGATAAAGCCGTGTGCTGATTGGCTGGAGATAATCTCTAAGCCACGCCTCCAAACAATCAGGTGATTGTCATGAACACAAAACTTGTGTAAACAAGGACTTAATTTCTAACAAATTGTTAAGTTCTGCTTCTTCTTCTTAATTCCCTCTTCCTTTTCAATCCTGATGGTAGTAACGGAGTGAGGTAATTGGTGGGTTGAGTTACGCTGATTATTGTATCCGTCTTATTTTCCTGTGCAGTTCTGATGTTGAGAATGGGACGGAGGAGCAGCAGAGTTATGGCAGGATGGTTGGAGAGTCTGTGCAGGCTGCTGATCAGGACCAGCAGGAGCCTTCAGGCAGGAGGAAGCCCGAGCTACTCAGGTGAACAGCAACTTTTATTTGTTTATAACATTGTTTTATGGATGATTGCTCTGCAGAATGTTAAGTAATGCCTAAATAACTAGGCTAAAACAAATCTGAGCTTACATGGTGACATTTATTCGTCTCGCTCTGTCTCACTCGTAAAAGTTTGGAACAACTTTGTCTCTTTTAACTGTTTGTTCAAGGTTCTGTTTGTTGTTCAGCCTCTCTGTGTTGAACCTTTCGCCTGCAGGTCAAAGACTTTTGACAACTCCTCGCTGACTCAGGTCCAAATAGATTCAGACTCTAAGATAGAGAGAAAGAAGTCTCACTACAGCCAGGTGAGCTTCCATGAACGTCCATGAATGTTTTGTTGCATCAAAAAGTCACTTAATTTAGACCGTGGTCTTTAGAATCAGTGTCCAGACGATTGATAGAACTGGAACTGGGTTTTTTTATTCCAGCCAAAACCGTTTCTGTGTCCTAACAAACCATTTATTACGTTTATAAGCAGTGTATGTGCTGCTGATCCGTATTCAGAGCTGTTGGTGTCTGTTGTGGCAACAACCATAGGACCCTCTGATGATCCCAGTGGTCATGAAGGCTGAAGAAACCTTTAGGCTTCAAGCAGCTGACTGTTGTAGGATTGTCAAAAGAACTTCGGCTGCTGTGGTTGTAGAAATAAAAACCTGGGCATGTAGAAGGACTTTCGGCTTCCAGGAGTTTCTAGCAAACCACTTGACAACTCACAAAAGGAAAGTGTGCCTTGTCCCAGACAGTGCTTGACTTAGTGAGGACCTTCTGACCTGGACTGGGAGAACTGTTGAACGGTGGATTGACCTGATCTGGTCACCATGTCCAACTTTGAGAAGGCAGAGTCTGAGCACTCAGCGGGAAGTGAGTCCATTACCATGGCAACGGTTGTACGTCAACATCAGGGTGCCAGAAGTTAAAGAGACACCCCAGAGGGATTCTCCTGATTCTTCAGAGGGAGCTTGGATCAGAGCTGCTGCTCGGCATCAAAAGGAGTCATCTGAAGTGGATTGGGGAGTCTGAGAGATGCTTCTTCTGCAGATTATCCAGACACACCCCAATGGGATTAGACACTGGGGCAGACCCACAACTTGTTTGAGAGATTAAATACCTGCTCTGGCATCGGGATACATTAGGACCCCCCAAAATGAGCTGGAGGGTTTTGGAAAGAGAGATATTCAGAGCTTATCTCCATGAAAAGCTACCTCCAAAATGGATTGATGGATGGATGGATGGATGGATGGATGGATGGATGGATGGATGGATGGACGGACGGACAGATGGAAGGATGGAAGGACAGAAAGATGGACAGACAGACAGATGGGAGGATGAATGAAAGGATGGATGGATGGATGGATGGATGGATGGATGGATGGATGGATGGATGGATGGATGGATGGATTGATTGATGGACAGATGGATGGTTGGATGGATGTAAGGATGGACAGATGGATGGATGGTTGGATGGATGATGGATGGATGGATGGAAGGACAGATGGATGGATGGATGTTGGATGGACAGATGGATGGATGGATGGATGGTTTGTTGG